ATCTTCTTGGTTCTTTTCCCCAGAGTGAGTTAAATAAAAGTCGTTTTCTTTTAGTAATTGTAGATTATTTTTCAAAATGGACAGAAATTGATGATTTTGAGTAAAGTTAGTGTTTCTTTTCTATCACAGGTGTCCAAATACTTATTGGTAGTCAGTGTATATGGAAATGCATGTCTGTCGAAAATCACCGTTGTGGAATGGTGCTATATGTCCAGTGGTGATCGCGATTCAACTCAAGATGCAAGTCGGTGTAGGAGGCTCTCTACGTCATTACAGACAACAACAAGCTGGCATTCGATGATGAGATTACGGCGTAACGTCGCATATCCATTCACGCATTCTCAAAGGATCTCAACATTAGCTTCGGCAGCATGCACTACATTATCTGGCAGGAGTTAGGCTACCGTGAAATTGCAGTCAGAGGATATCCCCGGCCGTTGGATTCCAATCTATCTGCATAGCTGTTTACCTGAAGCACATGATGCGTTTCAGTATTGAAGGCAACATTTGAGCGCACTGTTGCAGGCCACGAAAGCTGGTGCCAGCACTAAGATCCTGAGTCGAAAGCGTCGACTGTGCAGTGGTGTCTTCATACCCTTACGAAACAGCTATACTACCGTATTATTCTGGGCTTCTGTTGCCGGACAAATACTTCCCAGACATTCAGAGTGTTACTTATGAAGCCTGAGAATTTAAAAAAAAATACCTAATTTACTTCCTCTGAGGGGAAAATACGAAGCGAAAATAAGTAGGACTTGAGCTGTATGTGAAACACTGGTCGAGAAGAGGTAGGCTGAATCTGTTGGCTGCTTTAGTCAATTAATGTCGTTGCTGGTGACATTATTATTTCCAAAAAATAATATTTTGGAGGTAAAAAGCAAGAATCCATTTGCCAGATAGGCATGTTAGCCATCAAAAGTTTTAGGAAAATATGGGCAGTATACTAGGGTTGAAGAGAAGAATGAGAAATTAACTCGCAAGCATGTGCACATAATAGTTCATGAGTCCTTTGCAGTGAGCTGATGCCTGCCTTTGATTGGTCGAAATCGACTTGAGAATGTTTACTAATTCACAAGTCAAACAACAAAAATCAGCGTTAATTTTCAAAATTTTCACGCGGTTTTGCAGATGAGGATGGTGGTTCGAAACTAGTCCTGTGAAAATTTTGAAAATTAACGCTGATTTTTTTTGTTTGACTTGTGAATTAGTACTTATTCGGCGTATTATTGTGTCTTAATTGAGAATGCTTGTCGGAAGAAATGATGGGAGAAGTGCAATATTCGATGAAAACTCGAGGTATTGCAAGTAGAATTAATCGTCCCCTCGTCCCAAGTTCAAGAGCCAGTATTCTGCTGGAAAAGTGATGCTTACCCTGTATTTTGATTTCCAGGACCCATTGTTTACTGATTCAAGGATTTAGGTGTCTCCATCACTGGGGAACAGTTCTGCGAAACGCTGGAGAGATTACGACATACAATTAAGGCGAAACGTCAGGGAAAACTGCGGAATGGGGTGATTCTGCTTCATGATAATACTTGTCACTATATCACAAATGTCGCTACACGGAAAATACAGCATCCGTGTTGCGACATTGGAGTGAGATAGTGAGATCGCGGTAGCCCCGAAACTGCGAAGTTAAGGGAGATGACTGTATCTCGAAAGTACTGTTGAAGCACTTGCCGAACATTTGTGGCTACGTGCAGACGCCATTTTGCATCCTACAAGCTTATTAAAGACATTTCGCTGCTGTAATTCTGGAATTACATAATTTTGCAACATTGTTGTATACCGAGCAATTGTGATGGAGCACTCTTTCGTACCTGTGGAAGAGATCTCTTCGAAGAAGTACGGGCCGAGAACGAATGTGCTTGCGATGCCGCACAACGCAGTCACTTTAGCTTCATTTAAAGCCGCTGGTGCTACATCGTGAGAAATTTCATCATCCCAGTGAACGCAGTTCTTGGTGTTAACGCTCCCAGATAAGAAGAAATGTGTCTCATCTGTCCATAATATCCGCAGCGGCCACTTTCTATCTCCACTATATTAGATAAGGGAAGAATTGACAAAGTCGGCACGCTGTTGCTCGTCTTCATGTTGCAACATCTGGGACGCGCTGAAATCAATAAGGAAACATCTGCAGAACAGAGCGTAGAAGCCTGAGAACTGTGAATTTCGTTACATTGAAAACTGCGGGCAAAACTTCTTGCTGTATGGCAATGGACCTGCAGTAATCGTGTTATGTACTTCCGCAGCAACTTCAGCAGGAGCACATAGTCGTTCGGAAAGCGTAATGGCAACCCGCACATTGAGTTGATCAATGTTAAACAAATTTCGCTTACTACGCATGCCCAGAATAAAATTTGGTGCAGTTTTAAAAGAAGACAAATACAATATATGGTTGATATTGTGTTATGTGGACGCAAACAGCTTGGGTTTTTAAAACTTGTTAGGTTGTAAATTGCTTCATTACTTAGAATGTAAATATCGATTGTAAACTGCGCAAAGTTTCGTGTAAGAAGGATAACAACAGGAAACATTACAAGATGAATCAGCTGAATACTTATTTATCATACTTCTGAGGAATAAAAGCAATTGAGTATTTACCATACGTGCATTTGTATAAACTTTAACAAATTAAGGAATAAATCCAGTTTAAATTACTGAATTAAAGTCAAGTAACTGATATTAAATGTAGTGTTTCTGAACAAAATAAACCGAAATGAAACAGAAACACATGCGATAACCACACACAAATTTCCGTAGTATTGCAATTGTAAACAGTAAAACCAACATGACTAACAGGCTTGTGTAGGGTTGCTTCTGCTTTTCGTTGCTAGTATTTCCTTTCACGCCAACGGTACGCCATTGAGCATGCACAGTAAGCGAAATTCGTTAACATTGATCAACTCAATGTGCGGTTTGCCATTACGCGTCCGGGAAAGCGGTCTATCACGTTTACATCCAGTTTATTTATTAATTTTGTTTGTTTTTTTGCCAAATCACATACTGTGTTTGCGGAACATGAGCTTCGTCTTAGCTTATGATTTCGCCTATAAACTCGCATTGCTTCGGCAGCATTTTTTCCGTTTAGATAAAACACCTGTATTAATTCACCTCATTCTTTCCTTGTAAGTGTAATCTTCTTACCACATTCGAACACCTAGTTGAAGAAACAGTCTTTCCACTTTGCTTATCAAAGGTTTACCATAAGCACTGCTTTGCACATGGCGTTCTGTGATTGGTGCTTTTACTGTCTATGCCTGTGAATCATGAAAAGTGCCGTCAGTGCACCTCCTTTCTATGTTGTCCTTTACAATGCTTTCCTTTGCAAATATTTCATACCAACAATTTTCGTCATACGTATATCGTTCCAACGCAGTTTTTTTGGTTTCCCAATGCGCTGATCAGTTTGCGCAGGGGGTGAAAAATTGGTGTTTCTATTAGAAAATTTCGAAATTTTTTCACTATAACCGTAATCTTTAAATCAGTACGATCTCGAGCGCATACCTTCAAATAAAAATGTCTGAAATTTCATTTCGATTGGTTGAGTTGATAGATTGGTAGGGATCTATATCGTACTATATCGGGTATATATATATGGTACTATATCGGGGAAGTATTTTATGACCACCCTGTATATGCCAGCGAATGGGAAAAGCATACAATGTCATATCTGTAGTTGGGCTCTAGTGCAATTCTAACACTCGACAAGAAGCTGCACAAATGGTTCGATTAAATATTATTATCGAAAAAACTGAATATAATTTCGAAATATTTCTATAAACCCGCATTTCGATTAAATATTATTATCCAAGAAATGTAATACAATTCCGAAATAATTCTATAAATCCGCTTTTTTTGTTAATTATTAATGTAAGGAGAATGTTATTTTCACATATTGTAATTTTGTATGAAGCCAATTGAAACGGCGGTTTTCTGAAAAAGCAATAGATAATTTTCAGTGCACATTTAATTGAATTTGTTTGTTTAGTAAATATATAACGTAAAAATGTAATAGTTAATCATCATTTAGTTTATTAAAATGTAGCTCAATGAATTGCTTCAAGGTTTCCTCTCATGATTGTATAATTTTTTGTAATTAATGTAGTTGTTTGATTCTTAAATGTGGCTAGTAAATAAGATACATATAATTTGAATTAATTATTAACTCAGTGTAATATCAAAAGCCAGTTTTCTATCCGTTTGATTTTTAAATTAGGCTAGTATCTGAGATACATTTAATTTGACTTAATTATTAACTGAGTATAATATCAAAAGTCAGTTTTCTATAAACAGTTAACATGCAGATTGTTCTATTAAAATTAAACAAGGGGGGGGGGAAGCTGTGCCTTGTGAGGCTGAACTCTTTTAAAACTTGGACGTGTGTGAGTAGAGCAAAGTCTTATGTTGATGACAAACGGATTTTAAAAATCTCTATTCTTTCTTTGTATCCAGAACTTTTTACTTTTACATAGAGTAATTTTCATTTATTTGTCAAAATTAAGTTGTAAAAAATTGCAGTTATGAATTCTAACTTTTTACATAGCAATATCATTGAAAAGAATCATATTAAAGGATCATAGTACATTCATTTTATTACATGGGATGACTTAATGTTGCCAGTTTAAGCTAACTGAAAGTTTTTCTGCTTTAAATGCAAACCAGAACAAAATGCTGGTAATTGTGCTTGGTACTGAATAATTTGAAATTAACATGGTTTATGATTTTAGTATTAATAAGCTCTTTCTATTTTGCTTAAATCTTAGTCTATTTTATTATGTGTAAAAAATACCGTGTCCAAAAAGTGACGTAAATTTTCCAGTCAGATTTTCTCTTGGGCTAGAGATTCTTATCTGCAAAATCTGTACTTATTTTTTTCTAATGAATTCTAAATATGTATAAAAATAAAACTGATTGTCAAAATTTTGAATACGATAAGATGTTATTGTTTTATTTATGTTTATTTAAAATATTTATTAGTAATTTTTACCTTTTTTCAGAAGAATGAAGTTCTGAATAAATATAAACTGCAGCAGTTGAACAATTTCTGTAACTTCAGTGGTAAGTTTAACTTCATGGCAGTTTAACGAATATTAATCATGCTTGAATGTATATCTCTTTAAAAAAATGAATTTCATTTCGACAATTTTAAAACACTGTTATGTTTTGAATTTTTAAATGGATTTTTTTTTTTTGTATCAATTTTTTTGTATTTCCTACTTTTATTTATTGCTAATGAAACAAAACCTTTTGGCCATAGCCTGCTCATATTAAGTAACATGTTATATAGCAAGACGATTCTAATTTATCATGTTTATGAGTCTTTCAGTATAAGCATAGTGTAGTGAAAGAGGTAGACGTGTGAGAAGTTAAAGAGTGATGATGCAAGAGAAAGTGAAATGTTGTCACCTCAGTAACTGCCAGTGCGTTTAAAAGATGATCATTAGTAAAGTATCTTAGGAAAGACTGCAAAATTGGGAAAATGTGTGTTTTGAAAGTAGTAATGATCTTTGGTTTAGCAAGGAAGGTGAAACAGAAATTATACCATGTATCAGTTGCTCATAATAAGCCATTTAACAGTAAATTGTAAATAGCTAAATTGTAATAGTAACAGTAAATAGCTCGAGGAAAAAATTGAAGCTTAAAACTGAGCTTAAGCTTTTAGATTTTTGTATGTGTACTAATCTATTGCTTCCATGTGCATTACTAATGTAAAAGAAAATCTGTGTATATATTTGCTCTAATTTATGAGAAGCATTTACCGTAATTTCCGGAAGAAACGCCGCGGCGTTTACGTGTTTAAAACTTAAATTTTCAGCGGGTGCGGCGTTTCTACCCATGCGGCATTTAGGTGCACTAAAAGTAAAATATTTCCTATGATGGTCATTGTACATAGTTTGGATGGCCTTGTCATTGTGCATAGATTGGTGCTGTTCCCACACAAAAGACCACTCAGTTGCTTTTTGCGAACGGTTATTTTGTTTACGTTCTTTCCCTTGAACGGACCTACATGCCTTATTCACCCTAAACGAGATCTCAGAACAATAACATTCTTCCCCCCTTTCAAAATCAACATTCTCATCAGTTTGAATAGTCTCTCTCCTCTGCCATTCGATGAATCTCCATCCTCTTTCCACCCCTGCCTTTTCTGCAATTTTTTTCAAAGGCGGACACGACTCCACCTGCCTCGCAATAACGAACTCTGACGTATTTCCCCTTCAGCATGAATGGATTTTTCTTGGCATTCTGCCAAATACAGATCCCATCAGTTAGGGTACAAGTACTTGTTGGATAGTTTTTAATTAGGGAGCGGAAAATTTTTGAAAATGTCTCTAAACGGCACAGAAGCTATACATTTCTTACCTTTAATTTATTTTTGAGTTATGGTTTCATTTCATGCATTTTTCTTAACTGGTATGTCATATATCAGAACTTAGGTTGAGTTTTTGCATCTATACGGCCCACCACGATGTCACGCGCAATTTAATCTATTGCGGCGTTTCTGTGTAATTTTAATTTTTTTCCCGCCATTTTTCTCGAGTGCGGCGTTTACGCTGATGCGGCCTTTCTTCCGGAAATTACTACCTGTAATGGTCAATTAAATTAATGGTAAAAAATTACGTGGTTTGGTGCATTCTCTTTCTTGCTGTATCATGCTTGTGCATGGATTCATACTTGATGCACTATGGATACTTTAAATATCTAACTCCCTGAACTGCAGAATTAAGTGCAAAAGAGCAGCATCCTAGCAAATATGGTTCTTACTAACAAAAATAAGTACCATCATCTTCATTGAATACATTTTTGATCGATGTAAGCAGATTCTCCCAGCTTGGCTGAATGCATTTTTACTGCTGTATTGTTTCTGAAAATTGTTTGGACTGCATATTTCATTTTAGTTTACTCATATACCCTGAAAATTTTGTTTCTTCGTGCAATACTATGTATTAGCGTATGGTCTGCCATGGGAAGGCATAGCTCAATCTTGCATGAGACCCCCTGGATATCAAATCGTTCGGACTCAAATCTTGAATTCTTGTGAAATTGTATGGACTCTATCTTAAATGTTAACTCTAGCTCTGTAGGACTTATTGCTTCATCTTATAGTGAAATGAACCCCTAACGCATAAGAAAGTTTAAAATAAACCTTTTTATTTAATCCTTCAGTTTAGCAGAACTATCCAGCTCATGTAGTAACAAAACAGGCCACCACTTCCTACGAGATTAACAGAACACAAAATGTTGATAATCTTAAGCAAATAAAGTATAAATTCACAAGGCAAAGTCCACTGTAAGTTTGGGCTCAAGCTTTCAAATCTTGGCAGCAGACATGGCTACCAAAGGCTAAAGCCCATTCAGGTAAATCCAGAAGTTGAACGAAAATAGTTCGGAGACGGCCAGCAGTCGCTGTCTTTTAACTTCTCTCCAAATGCTGTCTTTTAACTTCAAAAACTCTGTTCTTCTACACATTAACTAATTAGCATCTTGGTGGGATCCAACAAAAGTACAAGTGACAATAAAGATAAAAATAACAAGATAATGAGTCCGAATAAAATCCCACAGTCGCTCTCATCAGAATTTAAAAAATCGAATACAAATGTCTTAGTGACCTTTAAAGAGGTAGACAATTTTACAGTTCCAAAATTAAAATTCAGCTATAACTTTTACGAAGCTTTTAAAATTCGACTTGAAAATAACTTGATTTTTAATTAAAGAGGGTTGTAGTCCATTTCGATGACAACCAAAATAAATTTTTTGCAGGCACTTTTTTCAGATCGAAGATAAATATAAATTTGAATTTTTCTTTTCGTTATTACTATTATTATTTATGTATGTTTTGATAAGTATTCGTTGAGAGAAAGTTAAGATTTAATTCTTTTTTCTGTAAATTATTTTTAAAACAGCCGCCCAGACGGTATAGTGGTTAGGGGAGCCTGACTGCAATACCAAAGGGCCTGGGTTCAAATCCCGGAGAAAGCATTGGATGTAAAATTGTCTGTCCCTTCATAGGAGGTAACGGTGGCCGCCTATTAGGTGCCTCCATAATAAAATGGCTGCCACTTCTGGCCTTAATAGTGGCCAATGCCGTTATAAGCAAGAACCCGCCATTTGTTAAAAAGAAAAAAAATTAAACATTCCCGCCTGTCCGCTGCTTTCAGATCATGCATTCGGCCCGCATGCAGTTTTAGTCTGAGAATTCTGAACTAGAAAAGAGTGAATTTGAAGTAATGCAAGTATTAGAGAAAAGAGGGGAAATCTTTAAAGGCTTCTTCATAAGAAAACATGTCTCCAAATAAGTATCTCTGGACGTCTGCAGCGCCTGCATTACTTAATTTCGGCTCGTCAGATACATATCTGCAGCACCTCGGCCATGAGTTTTGCTTATTATTCGTGACTGGATACATTGTTGCGGAATATGCGTCGACTATGCTTTCAATTAAACCACGAAGGCAAACGGAAAGGAGAGAGAAAATATCTTAGCTCCTTATTTGCTAACACTAGCTAAATCTGGTATAATTTTTTCTGTTTAAGAGAAATTATGTTCTTAAAAGAAACAAGAAAAGTTTAATTTATCGTCTTTTTGCATTTGATTATATTTCCGATTTTTTATAGTTAAAAGATTTTTCAGCTTTTAGACTAGGTCTAGTTAGCTCAATCCCTTGGTGCATGTGAATCGGCAGACTGTGAATTCAAACCCAGCTAAATCATTTTCTGATTTTTCCACTGAAAATAAATATTTTGTTGTTTTTGTAATTCTGTAGTTAACAGAATTCTGTTAATCTAAAAATCATTAAAATTTTTGCAGGTAACGTATAATAATTTTACATTATTTTATTACATGAAATTTTATATCAATGAATTATTTACACCATTAATAATTTCATGTTAATTATCTACATATAAATGTTAGATTTTACGTATTTATAAAGTGATATTATTTTTTCTCTTTCATGTATTTAAAATGATGCTTTATTATAAATCTAATTATCAGTAATATATGTTATATTTTATGCTATTTAAGAGTGATCAATTTATTTTCTTCTTTTATATAAATGAATGATAAAATGTAATATGCTTGCTGTGAGACCGATGGAGGTCTATTGGAAACAAATCACGTTATCTTCTTTGACGGCTCTGATTATCTTAGCTCGATATAGCTCACAGCAACTTAGATACAAAATCTGCTTACGAAATACTATCAGGCGATATGTCTGCGAGGCAGATTTTACTGTGTTGGTGAGGAACTTTGTCTCTTTGTGTAGATGATCCTTTACAAAACCACATGAATTCTGAAGAAATAGCTGAAGACATTAGGTTAGGTTATTTGAACACAGCAATGCACTCTTAGCTATCTGCCTGAGGAGAGGAATGCCTTCTTTAAAGACTTTTTGAGGGAAGCTATATCGTATTGCGTTTACATTTGGGAAAACACAACGAAAATTAAACCTTGCAGCCAGCCCTCTCGCCTTGATTCTCGAACCCGGGAAGAATTATCTGTATTCTGCAGTTCTTTAACAGCTTGTCCACTGGTGGAGAAGAAATAGCTGAAAGAAATGGGTTGGGAGAATTAGATCGAGGAATTAATTAAACTGTAGTAGTAAATTAAAACTGTGATTAATGAAGACGTAGCAGAAGTGTGGCAGGTCTTTTCCTAATGGATTTCTCAGAAATATCGTAATTCAAGATTAGGAATGGATTAGTTGTTGACTTTCCTAATATTAATAAGTCCCCCCCAGTTTGGCGATGAATTAGTCTATATATAGTATATATGTATAGAGACATTAGGTATTTTTGAAGCAGAAAGCATGAAAAATGAGCAATGGCCTCCTCGAGAGTCGAACCTGGACCTCTCGAATGCGCACCGAGTGTGTTACCATTACACCACGAATGCATGCTGGAAGGAGAGAAAAAATATCTTACATGTGAACCGTCAACCTTTTGTAATTTACCGAAATGTATGGTTTCCAGCTGTTTGCAAGCAAAATCCCTAACAAGACAAACATATGTAAGTATCAGATGCATTATGGTCTCACAAATCAGTAGCTTATTGATAATAGATA